GAGATGATCAAGTAGGCAGCTTTTTATGTCCATTGGAAGCACTGGATTATCAGTGTCTTGTACCATTGACACCAGAGTAGGGAACATGTCTAGCGTGTCACTTTCCATACTGTTTCTCCAGAGCTCTAATTTTCTCGTGAATGCCTTTACTTTGTCATTCCAAGAAAGTACAGTTGCCTCATTCCCTTGAAGTAAAGTGCTGAGGATATTTAATTTCTCAAATATATCTGTGAGGTATGCCATTTTTCAATAAAAAAATCCTTGTTGCTGAAACTGTCTGCCAGTGAGTGATTTTCCCCATTTAAAAAACAGAACACCTCATGACTCAGCTTAAACATTCTCCTTAATACCTTGCCTCTCGAAAGCCATCGAGCATCACTAAAAAACAACAGAGCAGTGTGTTCGGCACACATTTCCTGACATAGCATTTTAAAAAGTCTTAAGACTTCAGAGGATGGGGCTGCTACCGAACTATCAACGCTGTCTCTGGCATACACGTTTTATAATTGCCGGTAAAGAGAATAATTATTAGTTATTTTGAAATTCATCATATTCTATATGTATTTTTATTTTTTGTTACTTTTCTAATTGATTTAGGGCAGTGTTGATTTTTATCTGTAAGAAAGTATGCTGCGCCCCCCTTTCAAGCCCTTCGCCCCCCCCCTGGGGGTCCACCCGTTTCACAGTTGCACCTGTCGCAATTTCAACAGGACAACATGGTCAAACGTCCTTGAGAGAATTTCTTGATCCAGCTGTGAACTGGTTTATAGGACAAGCACTTTCCACCATATACAGGAAACATTCCTTTATGAATATCCTTTGCTCTGAGTTCTTTTGCCCACAAAAAGCAAGCAATAGAATGCTGCTCTTTGGTAGGACACCCCTCAAGCATGGTTGCCATTTTGCCTACCAGAACATTTGCATGGGCGTCTGCTACATAGAATGTGACGAAGCTGGACAGTGCTGCTACCTACTGAATTCAGTCCAGTTCTACATTGTACAGCCTTCCTTTAATGGCAAAACCAAATTTTCCCTACTGTGATGAGAAAGGCCTGTGAGAAGTAGTTGAATGGGCTTTACAGGAGAATTGGA